TCCTGGCACAGGCCTGGCAGGCAATCACTAACCCCTTTGTATCTGGAACTTGGTGAGTTTGTGCCCCTAGGCCAGAGATCACACAGCATGTGACAAGGTGGAAGATTTGCATTGTGGCATCCTCTTACTTCATAAATTGGGGGAAGGATTTGGGAACAGGAGGCTACCCCTTCCCTGAGACCACTTACTCCATGTATGTGTGGTGTCCATAAAATAGTCTTGAGGTAAAAAAGTGAAAGCAGAATTTAAAAAGAAAGATTTTTGTGCTACATAAAAACAAAACAAACAAACAACAAAAAAAACCCAGCAGTCTTATTTTGCAATTCTGTAGCTCCTATTACAAAGTTATTGCGTAAAGTGAGTTAATATTTCCCTTTCAGAGATAATGTTATCATACCTAAATTACTTTGCAGTTTTCCAATTAAGTTAGCTTCTAAATGATACCTTTAATTAGCCAAGGTGATGAGCTGAGCAGATAATGTGGAAATCTTAGATAGCAAGGTTGAAGGTGACAGGCAAAGTCTCAGCAAAGGTGCAGCTGCCTCCCTGAGGGAGAAGCACTGGAGGTGAGCTCCGGAAAACCCCAGCTCTCCGCAGGCCTGTTCCGGAGGGAGAGAGTGGTGGGGGAGCCGCCCTGGGACTCCTGGAGTGAACACCATCACTAAAGGAAATACCACACAAGAGGCAATTAACACTTTAGAGCATTCATTAGCCCTGACCTGTTTAGTGGATAGAGCATAGGTCTGCGGACTCAAGGGTCCCAGATTCGATTCCAGTCAAGGGCATGTACCTTGGTTGCCGGCAAATACCCAGTGGGGAGTGTGCAGGAGGTGGCTGATTGATATTTTTCTCTCATTGGTGTTTCTAACTCTCTATCCCTCTCCCTTTCTCTCTGTAAAAAATCAATAAAATGTATATATATATATATTTTTTTTTAAATATATTTTATTGATTTTTTTTACAGAGAAGAAGAGAGAGGGATAGAGAGTTAGAAACATCGATGAGAGAGAATCATCAATCAGCTGCCTCCTGCACACCCCCTACTGGGGATGTGCCCGCAACCAAGGTACATGCCCTTGACCAGAATCGAACCTGGGACCCTTCAGTCTGCAGGACAACACTCTATCCACTGAGCCAAACCGGTTTCAGCCAAAATAAATATTTTTTAAAAGAGCATTCATTATTTCCAAAGTCCTACTGGACAGCAGAGACTAGTGTCATATTGGGTATTAGAGGTTTTTAAAAAAGATGGGGACCATAGCTCCTTGACTTCAATGAACTCAGAGACTAACAAGGGAGAAAGGAATAGTAGTAGTAATAATAAACCACTCTTGGAAGGTAGAATTGATGAGATTGAAATGCAATGGGTATTGCTGTTAGCAAAAGAAGTGCCTTCTAATGAATGAGCTGGAAGACTTAGATTTTCCACCATATACTCAGGCTCAATCAGTGAGGCTGGACAAAAAAATTCAATTTAAATAATAACTCCTAGGTTATAGCCTGGATTATAGTTCTGACATTTCTAATTCCTAACTAACCTTTCAGATTCTTCCTCCCTCCTCCAGCTCCCCAGCCACTGTCCTCACCACCGAGTGCCTGACTTCAGTCCCAACCCCTCCAATAGACCTTCCTTGCTGTCGCCATGTGACCTGGCTAAAATCCACATCCGATCCTGTCACTCTCCCGTTTAAAATCCAGAGTTGAGCACAGTGCCTGGCTCCTGGCCTCACTGTGCTACATCATGCTGTAGAGTTTCCTGGGGCTGCCATAACAAAGAACCACAAACTCAGTGGGAACAGATCTGTCTGAGCGCGGGCTCTCCCAGAAGCTGACCCCAAGGCGAGAGGATTCAAATGCAAGTTGTTTATTTGAGAGGTGAACCCGGAATGGCCAGCAGCAGATGGGAAAGTAAAACACTAGGGAAAGAAGACACTAGGTACATTGTCAAGGTCGCTGCCATCACGGACACTGAAGCTGTCTGGCTGGGGGATTCGGAGATGCTGTGAACCTGTTGCAAAGTGATTTTGAGGGAGACGGGGGGACTGGTCCACCAGTGCCAGTCAGTCAAGGGTGAGAGTTTCCTCTGCGAGCGTTAACTTCCAGGCTGTCCTTTGTATGCAGAGGAAGGCAAAGAGCCTTGGTTGCAAAGAGCATTTAGAAGCCTTGGTAAGTGTGATGGGTTAAGGTGGGACATTGAAAGTGTCTATGACAACCCTCATGAGAGAACTTAGCCCAGGCTAAAGAGTAAATGCAAAAAGATGTCCAGTGTTGACTAGAATAGCAAAACTGAACAGATAGCAAACAAATGATGAAAACCACACAAAATATCTAGCAATGTGGTGTCCATTTAAAGAAAGGAGGCACAGCTACCACCATGCCGCTTTCAAAGCCTTTGAGCAGCATAGAAAAGAGTTATCATCAGATGCTAAGTGGGAAGTGCAGGATGCAATGTGAATTAATGATAGCTATACTATGGTTGTGTGCATTTCCTTGAATGCATCTTCAAGCAAGAAGCATTCAAGGAAACCACAAAGAATTAAAAATGTATTAGGGTGATGGGACCAGGAGAATTCTTTTGCTAAGTTGTCTTTTCAGCCAAGTAGAGGGCAAAGATTTACTATGACTAATTAAAAACACCAATTTACAGAGGTCAATGTACTCCACACTCCCCTGCCACTGTTTCCTGCTGGTGTTTGAATTCTTATCTCAATTAGCTTTTGGGGAAACCCAAACTAAAATTTGTCTATTCCTAGGACTGGGGTATCTGGGCCATTGGGCATGAACATCTTTAGGGTTTTTTGTATGGTTCAATTTAAACCAAACTTCTCTTTCTGTTTTCATTTGCTGATCCCCCAAAATCAGCATTTGGCGGCTCAGACAGCTGCTTCAGACCATTGGAAACATGTTCACATGTGTTCAGTCATGTTCTGCTTCCTTTCTTTATACACATGGAGGCTGAGAACTTTGGAAGTTGACATCATCAAGACAGATTCCATGCCCAGGAGTCTGCAATTTATCAGAATGTAAAGAATGTGAAAATGGAATTTAGCCTGCAGATTGTGTTCCTTATCAAAGGTCTCCAAGCACGACATAAATTAAGCCTTTATCCAGAAGATACATTATCTCTGTGTGAGGCCTTCCACATAGTTTTCTAATGGAAGTCATTAGAAGCTTGGCTCCCACAGATAAGAGACCAGTTCTGCCCAGTCTGTGAGTCAGCAATGACATCGAATCCTGCCTTGGGCTCTGTCTGGCAGGGCTTGCAAAGGCTTCTGGGAAACCAAAAGGGGACAAGAGTCAGCCCCAGGGACCAGGGTGACAAATGTTCATTGAGTCCTACTATGTGCCAGCTGTGGGATAGATAGAGAATTTAAGAGACATTATTTCTTCCCTTTAAAAAACTCACAGAATAAGTCAACTCAAATGTCCATCAGTGGGTGAATGGATGAACAAACTGTGATTTACTCATGTATTAGGATATTATTCTTCATTCATAAAAAAGAATGAAGCACTGACAGGCTACAAGATGGAATGAACTTTGGAGACACTGTGCTAAAGTGAAAGAAACGGGTCACAAAAAAGTCATCATTATATTGTATGATGCCACGTACTTGAAATGTCTGGAATAGGCAAATCCAGAGACAGAAAGTAGATGAGTGTTTTTCTGATGCTGGGGGAAGGAGGAATTGGGGTGAGAATGCTAATAGATTTCCTTTTGGTGGGATGAAAATGTTCTAATACAACCTCATGAATATACTAAAAATCATAGACTTGCCTTAGCCAGTTAGAGCGTCCTCCCATGGACTGAAGTGTTGAGGGTTCAATTCCGGTCAAGGGAATGTACTTCTATTGCAGCCTCAATCCTCATGTATGTGGAAGGCAACCAATCAGTGTGACTCTCTCACATCAATGTTTCTCTCTCTCTGTCTCTCCCACTCCCTTCTACTTTCTCTAAAAAATAAAAATAAAAATCAATCAATCAAGAGCTGTAACTTTGAGCTTGTGGAGGATGGGGTGGAGGATATCTTTCCATTAATTTTAGGATTAACAAAAAAATAAAAAATATAAAATATTGACTTATATAGTTTAAATAGGTGAATTGTATGGCATGTGAATTATATCTTAGTAAAGCTTCTATTGAAAAAAATAGAAAAAAACATTCAGAGGAGAGAAGCATATTATATGAAGCAAGTTCTACAAAATTCACAAAGGAAGTGAGATTTGAGCTGAATCTTAAAGGTGATCAGGGAAGGACTAGGGAGAAAGTGGCTCCTGGATGAGGGGACAGCACAGAAGCACACGGTGTGAGGAAAGGTCTCCAGCAATCCAATAAGAAAGGAAGAGCTGTAACTTTGAGCTTGTGGAGGATGTGGTGGAGGATATTTTTCCATTAATTTTTAGGGAGAGTGGAATGAAGAGGAAAGACAGAGAGAAACATCAATGTGAGAGAAACACATTGATGGTTGCTTTCTGCACATGCCTCAACCAGCATCTAGGCAGGGAGGAGCCTACAACCGAGGTACCTGCCCTTGACCAGAATCAAACCCTTAACCAGAATTGAACCCAAGACCCTTTGGTCCTCGGGCCTATACTTGATCCACTGAGCCAAACCAGCTAGGGTCATACATGTTTTTATGTAAATGCATTAGACCATCAACAATGCCTCATACTTAGTAACAAAAATATTAGATATCATTCCATATTTGTATACAAGGAATTTGTTCATTTTTTAATGGGTATGTAGATGCAGGTAAGCTCTGAGACTGAATCCATGGTGTGGTGGGTGCTAGGTGAGTGGTGCCAGCCATGGTGCTAGCTGCTGGATGGAGTGAGACCTCACCCCAACTCAGCCTTAGCTTCGTAGGAAGAACCCAGCATCTTACTAGCATTTGGGGAGAGGGACTTAAATTTTGACAGATATTGTAACACTGCCCATAATAGATGTTTTACCAATTTATTCATAATAGATATTTTACCAATTTATTCTCCCATTGGCAATGGGTGAAAGAGCCTGGTTCCCCACCTTTTGGGGAATATGTTTGGAAATAATGTCAATCACCAGTTCATAGAGAGCCTTGTATACTAAGCAAAGAAGTTTGAACTTGATCCATAGACCATGGACACCCACTGGAGGGTTTAAACACTGGATAAAGATGGATAGGTTTGAAGTTTTTAAAGCTTATTTGCATGATAACATCAAATAAATGTTGTAGGAAATTCTTATTCTCTAACAGGCAATGAGTGGTAATGTGATGAATCAGAGAGGGAGAGGGGGAATCTCCATTAGGATGTAAGCCATGCTTGAGACAATGCGATTATCATTTAGGTACAGCAGCCATTCTAGACAAAAAGATTGGATATGAGTGCAATCTGTTTTTTGGGGTTTTTTTTTCAATCCCATAACTCTAACTTTCCTGTAATTTTTCTTTTATCACATCTTTCCCACATGCTGATGGCTTTTAATGAAGCATTTGGTCTTTAAGGATGACAACATAAAACCAATAGCCAGGAATTTTTATCGGAAGCTAACAGTTGAGCAAATGACAAGAAGACAGGTATATAGCAGCTTTATCATTCTCCAGAAGAATATTCTGCAAATTAATTGTATTTAGAACTAGGATTAAACAAAGAGCTGGGGAAAACAAAACAGCAGACACATTCATCCTGAGTCATTGTTTCTGAAACAGGAGGTAATCGCAAAGTGAAAAGTAAGATGGATGGCAGATGGCTGTGAAGTCAACGGGATGTGAAGGACTGACAGCCAGCTCCATCCAGACTCTCCAGCTGGTTCAAGGATGAGTGCAACAGGCCTGGTCCTACTGGGGCTTGCTCTGAGGTTTATGGCCACTCCTGCTAAGCCAGAGGAGGGCAGCGTTTGCTCTAAGAGCAAAGTGGCTTTTAGAGATTCTTGCTATTAATTTCTGCCTTTTGGCCGCTCTTTCTATGGTGTCCAGAACTGGTGTGAGGAGCAAGGAGGCCATTTGGTCTTTATTCATGATGAAGGCACCCAGCAGCTTCTGCAGAAGTACGTCGCTGAGGACAGAGAATGGTGAATTGGACTCACAGGGAACTCAGCTCAGAATGGAACTGCATAAGGTAGGTGCTGTGATAGCTATGTTTTATGGGAGCTAGTGGCTGCAATTCTCCCATTGCTTTCTACCCAGAGCTCCATAAAATAAATTTATATGTCCCATTCTCATGGTAAGCAAACCCTCCTCTTTGGTTGTTTTGTGGATAAAATAACTCATGCACAGTATTTAGCACAGTACCCGGCACAGAGCTGACACAGAGCTTTGCATATGCCTAATATTCATAATATCTGTGAATTCTTTGGTTCTTGTTAGAATAGTGTCCAGCACTGTCCTGAGTGAGTCATGTCCATTATCATGTTGAATCCTCACAGTAACTGATAATATAGTTATTATTGCTGTCTCTATTTTACAGGTGGGAAAACTGAGCCTCGGGAAATAATTACTAAGCTACTTTCAAAGCACTTTCACATGTCTTCCTCCCTGAGACTGCAGCAGGTCCAGTGCTTAGCATGGTTCAGCTCACATGGGATAGTCTCATGTTAATAGTTCTCCCAGGAACTCGTACTTATCCTTTCTCTGGGAGGGCTCCTTCCTCCAACCCAGCACAACCAGTTGAGTCCTTCTCTATTCACCTGGCATGACTTTAGTTATTTAGGTGTCTTCCCTTATAGATAATAAGCTCTTTAAAGGAAGGAACCATATTCTGGCCAATCCCTCCCACTTCCAGTGTCCATATATATCTAAGAAGGGACACATAAACCTTCGTATTTAAGCCTTACACCAGCCCCCTGAGGTAGGCTTTCTACTCTTATTTTATGGGTGAGGAAAATCAAGTCCAGAGAGAGGAACTGCCTTGCTCAAGAAGACACATCTAGGGAAGGGCAGTGAGGTCTTGAGCCAGTGTCGCGCCATCTCAAACTGCTCTGTGGAAGCTACTGGGATTTAGAAAAGAAAAACTTGGTCTGTGCTAAGTACCTAGAGAAATATACCAGAGAGAATGGAAATGCTTTAATAAAGGAACAGATGGAAAGCTCATTTGAGGAAGCTCACAGCCAAAGGGATACAATTTCTGCAATGTGTCTCTTGGATTTTTTTTTTCTTTGTAGATGCAGCAATTTGCAGATTTCCATTTGTATGCACTTAAAGGAGTCCGGATTATTTAAAATATTCAGGGGATACTGCATGGCTTTACAGAAAATGAAGTAGATCTGAGTAAGCTGATATGTAACAGCTTTCAATATGTAATGTTATTTGAGAGGCTGTGTGCAACATGATGGCATTTGTGTAAATAGATTTCAGGCACTCATGGGTGCCACTACATGGATAAAATGCAGCATGGAACAAGTTGCAAGAAACAACAATAATGGGAGTGGTCCATCGGTTGGGAAAGGGAAGATTCATTTCACTCACTTTTTACTCTTGAAAAAATTTTAACCATTTGTATGGATTTCTTTTCTTTAAAATATTAATAAATAGCCCAGCCAGCATAGCTCAGTGGTTGAGCACTTGCCTATGAACCAGGAGGTCACTGGTTCGATTCCAGGTAAGGGCACATGTCCAGGTTGCAGACTCAATCCCTAGTAGGGGGTGTACAGAAGGCGGCCGATCAATGTTTCTCTCTCATTGATCTCTCTCTCTCTCTCTCTCTCTCTCTCTCTCTCTCTCTCTCTCTCCCTCCCTCCCTCCCTTCTTTTCTGAAATAAAAATATACATATTTTTAAAAATTAATAAATACATTTTTGAGTCTTTATAGCAAATATTTTCTATATAGTATTTTCTAGATCTCTAGTGTGCTTGAAATGCCTCTGTATCTCTCTCTCTCTCATTCTCTCTCTCTCTCTCTCTCTCTCTCTCTCTCTCTCTCTCTCTCACACACACACACACACACACACACACACACACACACACATCATCCTTGGGTTCAAAGCTCTGCAGAGTCCTGAAGTAAGGAAATTGTGCCTGTTGCAGCTCAGCAGTGCCCATTTCTGTTTGTCAGGAGCCCCGTTTCTATGTGAAATTCCTTTTAACATCTGGGGCACACTTCTGTGCTCTTTAGGTTACTGTTAGATGGAGCCAAAAGCATCATTTATTTAGTCAAACCAACTCCTACAGGCTCTCCAACGTGGGTTCCCAGCGTTTAGGTCGAGTTCTTATGTTTGAGTGTCGGAAGATAATGGGCAGAAAATGCTCCATTGCTGGCATGGGAGAGGCCTTCAGCACTGAATGAGTACCTACTGCACACAAAGAGCTGAGCTGGGACAAGCCTTGTACATAAAAAGAATCAGAAAAAGTCCTGGTGGTTGTGTTCCCTCCCAGGACCGGGGATCTGGCTGGACAAGTCAAATCTATAGCCACTGGCATGGAGGGCAGGCCTCTCCTGCTCCCGACACCTGTGGGCTACATCGGGAGAGACCCTTCTGCCAGGTGGGCTGCCTCAGACAACTGCTCACAGCTGTTCGCCTTCATCTGCGAGTTTGGTGAGCCTCTGTTGTAGAGTCTACTTCCTTTGCCCAGTCTCTTCCTGTCTCTGTTTCCTTGTTTTCCTGTGTGTCTCTCTACTTCTATCTCTGTCTCTCTGTTTCTCTCAGTGTCTCTCTAGATGCCCACTTGTCTCTGTGTGATGCTCCATGTCTCTCTATCTCTATCTCTGCTATCCTGTCTCTATCTCTCAGTCTCTGTCTCTCTGTGTGTCTCTCTAAATGCCCATCTGCCTCTGTCTATGTGCTCAGTCTCTCTGTGTGTTCCACCGTCTCCCTAGCTCACATCCTCACTCTCCCTGTCCATTTACCTGCCTATTAGTCTTGCTTGTCTCTCTCGGTCTTTCTTCCTCACATATCTGCATCTAGGGGGAAATGCCACTCACCCTTAACTCCTTGCTCCCTGGTCAGCCTGAGTCTGAGTTCCCAAGTCCACATCCCACCAGCTCCCAACTATTCTTCTCTTGTGCCCTTTCTGGCTGCTACCCATGCCCGACTCCCAATGTAGGTGCTGGGGACTATGTATAAGAAACCCTGCCAGAGTGGGATGTGGATGCACACCAGGTCCTATGGACCAGGTGGGGACTGGGATTGGGGCCTGGTCTTAGAGCTGAGCCTCCTGTTCCCCCTGACCCACAAGCCAGACTTGATAGAACCTTCCGGGTTTCCTGGGTCCAGTCTCCTCCCTGGCTCTAAGCTCCTGGGTCCCAGGCCCTGCCCTGAGTTAGACACTCACAGGAGCTCCTGCTCCATTCTTCCCCTTCCCCAGCTTTAAATAGATGCATGTCGCCCTGCACTTCTGAAAATGTGGAAGCTCCTGTGAAGCCCTCCCTAGTCTGTGCCTTATGCAACTTCCCTCTTTCTATCACAGCCTCCCCAAGTCCCTGCCCCCTCTGCCACCCAACTTCAAGCTTGTCTCTCAGCCTCTGTCAGACCCAGGGTCTTGGAGCCCTGGCATGAAGTCACACTATGAAGAACTAATGAGTATGGAGCAGAAGTTCCAGCACTGAGCCAGACACTCATGTACATTTATTCACCATAATAGAAGTCCGTCCATCATTCTATTGTAGGTCTATTATAAAGCAAAAAAAAAAAAAAAGTGAGACTCAGAAGAAACAGATTCCCCCCTAGAGCCTTCAGAAAGAACCTTGATATTAGTTCAGTGATACCCATTTATGGACTTCGGACCTTCTTAACTATAATACTATAAATGTGTGATAATTTGTTACAGCAGCCATAGAAAATGAACACAGATTTGGTCTCTGCTACTCTGTGGACTTCCCACCAGGCAAACAGGCCTGAGTGTGAATTCAGCATTTCCCACTTACTGTTGTGCACACCTGAGTCAGGTTATTCTTTTGCAACGAATGTTCACTGAGCAGGTGCCAGAGAGCAGGGCTCGTGTGGGCATCTTGCACAGTGATCTCACTGAGCCCCATGTTTCTAATGGAGAGAATAATAGCTCAGCTCATAGGATTGGAATCACTCATTGAAATAACTCATTCATTCAACAAAAGCTTGTTTCGCAAATATCATATACCGGGCATTGTTTTCAAATAAGACTCAAGGAAAGTACTTGAAATAGATAGAATAATCATTGTTATTTGAATAGCCCATACTCTGAGTGTACAAACTCATTTAATCCTCCTAATGGCCATATAGAGTATGGTATAGACTCTCCTCTACACAGAGGAGGCATAGAGAAACTGAGTAATTTGCAGAGGTCACACAGCCACTGGGTGGCTAGGCTGGACCTGCCCTTGGGCAGTCTGGCTCCGAGTTACTCTCACCCCTGATGAGTCTGCTTCTGCTGTGTCCTTGCAGTTCACAATCCTTACCCCCAAGACTCTTCCACTTCCAATCAACCAGGCACTTGCCTATCCATGACCATAGGCCTCCTATGTATCACCTTACCTTTGTACAGGTGTCAGCTAGAGTCTGGCCTGCAAGGATCACAATGCCACCATGCATTGTGGCTTGGGGGAAATCATTCAGATTCAGGATGCTTTCTACGGGGCGGCAGACCCTGGAAGCCCCTTGGACCTGGAAGAGGAATGCAGCTGGGTCAGTGTCAAGGACGAAGCTGCAGGTAGGGCCTAAGGGTTCCACAGCTCTGCCTGTGAGCTCAGGGCAGTTCCTGGTATCTAGAAGGCTCCACCAATCCTCATATATTATGACCTGAGCCTCCACCATTGGGAAAACTAGCCAGTCTGCCACAGCACTGAGCTGGGAAGCAAGGGAGCTACAACTCATCCCTTCACTTTTTTTTATATATATAATATATTTTATTGATTTTTCACAGAGAGGAAGAGAGAGGGATAGAGAGTTAGAAACATTGATGAGAGAGAATCATCGATCAGCTGCCTCTTACACACCCCCTACTGGAGATGTGCCCGCAACCAAGGTACATGCCCTTGCCCGGAATCGAACCCGGGACCTTTTAGTCCGCAGACAGACGCTCTATCCACTGCACCAAACCGGTCTCGGCTCATCCCTTCACTTTTGCTTCCCACCCAGCTTGAGTGCAAGAAACATCACTTTTCTTTTTTAATTTAATTTTAAATTTTTAAAAAAATACTTGAAATACATAGACAAGAATAAAAAAAAAATACTTCAATGAACATCCACAGACCCACTGCCCAACATTGTCAAATTATATTTGTTTAAAATTCCATCATGAAGGAATCAAACCCAACATCGGATATATAGCCAACACTTCTGTGAAGCCCTCCCTGGTCTGCTCCTGTCATAAAGTCAGCACTTGTTAATAGCATGGATGGTTTTGTATTGTTGCCTTCTATGTGTGCAACTGTAAGCAACATGTAGTATTGCTTTGCAGGTTTTAGTGTTTATAAAAATTGTATCATATCCTATGTCATTCTGTGAAGTGCTTTTTTTCTCTTTTCCTTCTTTATTTTATTTTTTTATTCAAAGTATTATCCATCTTGATACATGCTATATTAGCTTATCTGTTTCATCTATTGTATGTGCCAGAATTTGTCTCTTTCTCTGTTAAGAGTGTATGGGTTGGGTCTTAATCCTTGGTATTGTGAATAATGCTAAACAAGTGTTTCTGGTGGCATCTCTTGTTCACATGGGAGAATTTCTCTAGGACCTGTTTTTACAAAATTAGATTAATTCTGCCTCTGAGCTGCCTTTGCCCCCTGGCAACGATTCACTTTAGGCCATTTGACTAGATGCTACTGCACCAGTGGTTCTCAAAGTGGGGTTCCTGGGCCAGCAGTGTTAACATTACTTGGGAGCTTGTTAGAAGGAAATTCTCAAGCTGCCTGCACCCTCTCTAATCTGGGACCCCTTGAGGGATGTCCGACTGCCCATTTAGGCCTATTCAGGCCTAAATGGGCAGTCGGACATCCCTCTCACAATCCAGGACTGCTGGCTCCCAACTGCTCATCTACCTACCTTCCTGATTGCCCCTAACCACTTCTGCTTGCCAGCCTGATCACTCCCTAACCACTCCCCTGCCAGCCTAATTGATGCCTAATTGTTCCCCTGCCAGACTGATTGCCTCTAACTGCCCTCCCCTGCTGGCCTGATCACCCCCATCTGCCCTCCTCTGCAGGCCTGGTCCCTCCCAACTGCCCTCCCCTACTGGTCATCTTGTGGCAGCCATCTTATGTCCACATGGGGGCAGCCATCTTGTGTGTTGGAGTGATGGTCAATTTGCATTAGCCTTTTATTAGATAGGATATGTATGTATATATATACTGGACATCTCTCCAAGTCACTAGCTTATTCTTTTAATAACTCCATAATATCTTAGTATAAGATTATGTCAAAATGTATTTAATCAGTTACCCTGTTGATAAACATTTAAGTTGCTTCCGGTCTTTTGTTGTTACATATCACTCTGCAGTGCTTTCTTGTACATTCTTGTGCATATATCTTGACATGTGCCTGGGCTTATTTTTAAAAGAGAGATCCCTAGTAGTGGAAATGCTGGGTCACAGGGTCTGTGCATTTTATTTTATTTTAACTTTATCTTTCTTATTAAAAATATTACCGAAGACCACCCTAACCTTCCCCCCATTGACCCATCTCTTTCCTACTTCTACCCCCTCCCCAGGCCTTCACCACATTATTGTCTGTGTCCATGGGGAGTCTGTGCACTTTAAATGTTAATAGATACTGCCCAATTACCCTTCAAAATCGCTGTATCGATTTATATTTCGGCTAACAGTGCATGAGGGTGCCAGTATCCCCTATGGCTCTGAAACCACATTATGCCATTTTCCAACACATTAATCAGTCGGAACAGCTACTCCTATTAAGGGCGTGTATAATGATGCAAGGAGCTCTGAAGGGAAAAGATGAGTCAGTGAATGTTGGGGTTCCCAGGGGCTATCCAGGAGAGCAGGGCCCGTGGGTCTAGGAAAAGGGAGGGCAACATGGAGGAGAGGGCACCGAAATAGGAGGGTGGCATGGAAGACACGTTCTACCAGAGACATTAGCCTGCTGGACATGCTTGGGTAGATAAACAGTGAGCAAAAGGTGTCTCAATTCTATTTCTGGGGAAAAGAGGCCACATGTTTTGGCAACACCTTCCATTTGGTGGTTTTGATCTGCCAGGCCCGGTGCTGCTGTCAGTGGACAAATGTGTAGCTCGGAGCAGGGGGCAAGCTGGATCTAGCAACTATGTGGTCCAGATTTTCTGCCCCAACTTTGTTTAAAATATCCTCTCCCATTGTGAATCGGTGTGTTCTGATCATTATCAGCTTCTGATTTGTGAAAGGAGACTTTATCCGGACATCCCACCCCGATTATGCCCAGTTGCATGTGACTTTCCTCAGGTAGCTGAGAACCAAGACCTCCTCAAAGTACTTTTTATTTGCAGTCAGTCTTTTTTTTTCTTCCCTTCCCATTTGTGCACAGAAACAAAGATTATGCTGGACAAATTAGCCCAGAGCTGTGTGAAGACCCAGCAAATTCTTCCCTTCACCCCATCCTCTATGCCAACTTTGGAAGCTCAAGGTTTTGTAAAATTTAATGTGCATTAAATGGCTTACAATGAATCATCGGCCACCTTAGCCAAGTAGATTTTTCTTAAAGGTGCTTAGCCTTTGTTCTTTTTAAACATTATAAAATGCATTTGGACAATCAATAGAATCCTGGCAAATAAATTAAGGTACATTGTGTAGTTATTAAAAAGAACAGGGCAGCTCTAACTGAATTTATATAGAACAACCTCCAAGATATACTAAGTGAAAAAAAAATGGAAGGTGTCAAATAATGAATGTAGTATGCACCATTTGTATAAATAGAAAAGTACGTACGGGTTGTGAATATCTATCTCTAGAAGGTGAAACGGGATATTGATAACAGTGGTTGCCTCTGAAGAGCAGAATGGGGGTGGAGGTGGGGCTGAGGTATGGCAGTGGAAGGGGGTTGTACATTTTAGATTATTAATCATATATTACCTAAGAACAAAAAATAAAATTCAAAAGAACTTTAAAAAGTAAAACTAAAATTTTGAAAACTTTAAAAGTCTCCCCTAAAGATGCAGGACAGGTGGGTAGGAGAGAGTCAGTTTTAAGCATGGAATTTTCTCTGCAATGGCACCCGGCCCTTTGAGTTTTCACCTGCAGGCCTGCAGCTGACAGGGTCCAATGAGTTTCATCTTTGATAATGTCACCATCTCCCTGATGTGGCTCCTCTCTCCCTACACTATATCATTATCACAGGGAATGGCCACACTTTTGATCCCTATAACCCTCCCACCCTCTCCCGGAGGAGAAACCTCTGAGGCTTGATTCAGGATATTATCAGTTATGGCAGTGGTTGGCAAACTCATTAGTCAACAGAGCCAAATATCAACAGTACAATTGAAATTTCTTTTTGGAGCCACATTTTTTAAACTTAAACTTCTTCTAACACCACTTCTTCAAAATAGACTAGCCCAGGCCATGGTATTTTGTGGAAGAGCCACACTCAAGGGGCCAAAGAGCCGAATATGGCTCTTGAGCCACAGTTTGCTGACCACGAAGTTAGGGGTATGTGTTGCTCATCCCCCATTAAAGCCAGCCAGCCCAGGCTCATTCAGGTGGAGGCAGAAGAGTTCCTAGCAGAAAGTGAGAGCAAGGCCCAATGTGCAAGCATATTTCAAATCTACTTGTGTCACATTTTTTAAACCCAAAGCAGGTTTCATGGCCGCACCCAGATTCAACAGGTAGAGAAACAGTCAATACCTGTTGAGGGAAGAAATGGCAGAGCCATAGAACAAAGGGGCATACATATGGAAGTGGGAGAAATGAATGCTCACCTATTTCTTATTATGGAAGCCACATGAACAGGCGTGGAGAGCTGGTCCTTTTGACTTGGTGCTATGTAGAATCTCTCCAGGGTCACTGTTTGAGGAGTCAGTAACGGTGTAAAGAAGATGCTCACCTGGGAATGCTTTTTATTGGCAAGGATTATAAAAATAATAGTAACAATATTAATAATAGTCCAGCCAAGCTGCTTTCACACATAATCTCACTAGAGCTGTGCTGTCTAGTGTTACAGCCACTCACCATGTGAGCTATTGAGCACTTGAAATGTGGCTGTTCTCAGTTAAGATATGCTATATATGTAAAGTACACATGGGATTTTTAAGACTGAGTCCCCTACCCCTCACCCCCAAAAAAAGAATGTAAATATTTCACTAAAATTTTTTTCTCACTAATAATTTTTACATTGATTACACATTAAAATGATAGTACTTTAGATATATTGGGTTAAAGAAAATACATTAAAGTTAATTTCACCTGTTTCTTACCTTTTTCAGTGTGGCTATTAAAAAATGTAAACACATGTGGCTCATACTATTTGTATTGAATGATGCTGAGCTAGATAATCATTATCTTGTTTTAACAAAGTTACAGTGGTGTTGACCAAGCCACACAACACCATGATGCAACCAGGACTGTTGAGCCTTGAACGGAGGTCAGCCTCCGAGGTCCCTGGTGGGTTATACAGTGCATAGTATCTGGGCCTGAGAGCACTACCCCCCCCCCCCCCGGTTTACCCCCCCCCCCCCAACTCACACACACACATCCTCTAGGAAACAGTTACCACCCCAACCTGATAGTAGCTAGACCAAACTCATAGTATTTCAAAGTCCTACCTGGTAAGCTCCGATGCCCCAGCAGGAGGGTGCCCCAGACTGTTTCAGAAAATCTAGGTGCTCTTTGGATTCTGAGGCTCCTTACAGGGACCTCAGTTCAACATGGATTCCCTGGGAAAGCACAGAGGCCCAAACGCCTCTCTTCTAATCCCCAATTCTGGCCCCGTGGGTGCCAGCATTCCTAAAAGCACTGGTTGCAGTGAGGCAAATAGGGTACCAGCCCTGTCCACAGCCCAAAGCTGCTTCAGTGAGTGCAAGTCTCAAATTCAGCAATGCTTTGAGGTCTCAGGCCTTGTGCCAACACAGTGGTGTCCAAGGCTGAGGTTCTAATCCCAGGCACTGCTAATATGTCAGATCCAGAAATAATCCCCAGCCTTGGGTTTCTGTTTCCTTCACTGTTATACATTCTCTTTCTCTCTCTCTCTCTCTCTCTCTCTCTCTCTCTCTCTCTCTCTCTCTCTCTCTCCCTCTCTCCCTCTCTCCCTCTCTCCCTCTCTCCCTCTCTCTCTCTCTCTCTCTCTCTCTCTCTCTCTCTCTCTCTCTCTCTCTCTCTCTCTCTCTCTCTCTCTCTTTCTCTCTCTCTCTCTCTCTCTGCCCGGCACAGGTAGGGTCCCTAGGCCTGGCTGTCAATCAGGGCCAATCAAGCCTTCAGGTTGCTGGCTGGGGCCTTCCTTCATTCCATGCTGCCCCCTGGTGGTCAGTGCATGTCTCAGTGAGTGATAAACTGCCAGTCTCCCAATCCAACTCCCAAGGAGACACTTTACATGTTAGCCGTGTGTGTGTGTGTGTGTGTGTGTGTGTGTGTGTGTGTGTGTGTGTATGTATATGTATACACACACACATATATATGAAGCCAGCAACTGGAACACTAGAACAACAGGAATGACTAGAACAACCAGTCGCTGTGATGCTCACTGTGGCCAGCCAACCTTCCACGGCCCCCCATGCCAGCCCTGCCTCTGACCGGCCTCCCCATCAGGGGTAGGGCCAGTCAACCTCCTGTAGATCCCCTCTGGCTGGGTTGGCCCTCGATCAGGCCCTAATTGGAAGCAGGGCCAGCTAGCAAACCTCCTGCAGAACCCCCTCCACCAGCCCAGCTCCCATTGGCCCCCATTGGGGCAGGCCAGCTGGACCCCATCCATGCATGAATTCGTGCACCAGGCCTCTAGTATATATACTATATATATGACAGAAAAAGGAACAAATCAAGATAACAATTAAAATGGGTGGTATAAAAAGAACACAGGTTGTAAAACCAGAAAAATCTGAATTTGAATTCCTGCTTCTAATACCCACTGTATAACCCTCCGGTCACACTCCTTACAATATCTATTTCCAAACCTATAGGATTAAATATAAAATTATGTTTGCACTATCCCATAGTAGCTCCAAATCCCATAGTAATATCCCAGCCAGGAGGGGGATTAAATTGGTTTTACTATAAAGTCTATGACCTTTCCATTACTCTAAAACTACAATGAATAAAGAAAGAAAAAAAAAAGGAAATATTTACATGAAAAATACACAAATCTACATAGACCCTACAGATCACCTGGACACTGTTCAAAGTGTCCAGGTATTTACCTTTTGTTTCATCCACTAAACATTTATTGGACAACCACTATAATCCAAACATTGTGTCAAACAGTAACAGGTGACTGTCTATGGTGGAATCCCAGGACTGTCTGGCCTTGAATGGAGCTCAGCTCAGCTACATGAAAGAAAGGAAGGAATCCAGGATCAGTTTTGTTTTGTTTTGTTTTAAGGTTGGTCACAGGAATGGTACATAAAAAGGAATGCCCACTCTGAGATTAGAGGTGATGGCACTGGAAATAAAGACTTCAATAAAGTAAGAAAGTTTGCGTCACATTTATATTGATGGTTGCCTTAATTGGAGTAAAATGAGGAATTACACATGAAGATGCTTAGGGAAAAAATGTTTAAGTAATACAAATACTATGGTATTTTCTGTAGGTTTTTTTCCCCCATTTGCTAGTATTTCACCAATAAAAGAACAAATGCTAAGTTATACATTCCTAATCCCCACATTTTATAGGATTTGAATTTGGCATAAGTCAAAATGCACTGTCTGTAGCCCTGTTAAGACTTTCAGTTGCACAAGGACCTTCTAGCAATAAACAAACTAGTTAAAAACTGGAGCAAATGGAATAAAATGCAAATATTTGTCTACTCTGGATAGAGAGTCTGGGTGTTTGTCATACTACTCTCTGAATTCTGTGGGCGATTAGATTTTTTCATAATCTAAATCAAACAACAATGAGTGATGCTTTACATTTGCAATCCATTGGGCATTAACTATAAGTGAAAGCGACTGTCATTTTTTCCCCCTTTCAAAAGAAATAGATGATAATATTCTTTGCCATCACTCCACCCAAATACTCAAATTTCCTCTTCTTTAAAGACTTGTTAGACTTCGAAACTACTCATCCACCTTCTTCTATTATATTTTTTAAGATTGGGTAATATATATCTGGTGTTTTCTAATCAGTCTTAGCAGCCTCAGAACTGAATTTACAATGAAAAATGGCATGAATTTTAAGTCACATATTTTGTGTAGACTGTGTTTTTCTTTTATGTGTTTGTTTAGACTCCTACTTCTGCTTAAAATGGAGGCTCCATTTCCATCGTAGAGAAATAACATGAGCCAATGGGGAGAATACAGCCTCCAATAAAAAAGGCATAATGAAAGTCAAACAATTGCTCCTTGAGAAGCTCCTTCTCGCCTTGCAGTCCCCATGTCTTGTGCACATCTGCATGGCAGGCTGTTTTGTTTCTCTGCAATGGAAAACTTTCTACATTTCTGAAATTATGTTCCTTATGGAACAATTTGCATAAGGTGAAATTTGTCCAAGTCTAGCATTAGGTAACTCAGCGCCACCTACTGACAGATCCATGGATCGCCGTTCTTCTTAGTCTATTCAGAGCCACAAGGCCAAGTCTGGAGGGGGATGTCCCTGGAAATGGATCATTCAGAAGCCAGGATAAGCCTGAGAGTGACTGGGATGTACACAGGCTGTTGGGAGGCACAGAAGAGAGAACTTTGTGAAAGCCAGGTCAGAAAGGACTGTAGAGCCGAAGTCCTTGGTGGGGGGCCAGAAATAGGAGGCAGGAGCAGAGAATGTAGAGCAAGGGAAGTCATGGATTTGGAGGGTAGCTGTGAGCACCTCACTATACTGGGAGTTCAGGGGTACGTGGGGAAAATGAAAGATGGAGAACTCGAAGAGGCCTAGTGGTGAAGAGCCTTGATACCTGCCAGTATAGAGACATTGTTTTTAGGAGCGTATGCAGGCTAAGCACCAGGACACAGGCTCTGATTTGGAGTGCAGGTTTCCTGGGGGATACTAAAACAGGGCTGGGTAAAATGCAGTATCAGCACAGGCCCAACTGACATTGAACAACTACTGGATTCAAGATGTCCCTGGGGAGGGGATGTCACCTTGGGACAGGCAGCTCACTTTGGCTAAGAATTCCTGGAGGTGGTTCAGCTGTGAGCCCTCAGCTGCTATCACGCCAGGATGCTGGGCAGGGTTGGTGGTGGTGCAGGCCTCGGTCTTGAAGGGTGGAATCTGGGTGACACACCACCACATCCACT